GATCTCTGTATCACAGTCACGATTTTGGCAGGGAATGTGCTGGCCATTTTTCTATCCTTATCACAGGCAGACATCTTCCTCCTCGCCCCGGACACACGCCTTCCTCTACCATAAAACAATCACTTTTGGGAGGTCAGTCACGTGTCTGCTTTCCATCGGGTGACCCCATCACACAGCACTCATTCACACTTAAGGCTTAAGCTTTCCCAAGTGAACTGCGTGGCTGTGAAACCAATTTTGACTGCATTTCTATCATTTGCATCGTTTTCTCTCTTATGGCTCTTCACAACATAATCTGTTCGATTTAGTTTGACCGTGTGGTTGCAAAGTGAACCGTGCCAAATAGGCATATGCAGCAACAACATCTATCACGATCATCCACTTAGCTGGTAATTGCAAAAGCAGATGTTGCTGCGGGGCCTCCAGGTACTGTAGGAATCTTTAGCCAAAAATGTCTCTCTTCCAGGGTTACAGCCCAAACTCCCACAACTCAGACATCCTCTTCCAGCATCATCCCCGCATTCCACCGTGCTCAAACACATCTTGAAATATATTCTCAAAAACACGAGAAACAGAGCCCCTCAAAGGGTCCTATACGAAACATCCTGTTAACATTACTGCCCCAAGAGCCTTCCTTCCTCCGCCAACGGACACTGATAAACGGAATTTGCGTGCGTGGTTTATGTACATGTGTGAAGGGGAAGTGCACATGCATGGAATCATGTTTTCTAGTCTCGCATCTCCATGTAGAATGCAAAGCAGGAAATCCAGAAACCAGGATCCTCTGAAGAAACTGTCCCCAAGGCCCTGTAATGTGGTACCTTAGAGTCAAAGCATGTGGCCCGATAAAGCTGACTTCAAGGGTTCAGAATGCTTCAAGTGAACTTGTACAACTGTTCCACAGGGCTACACTTCAACGTGGGTTGAAAAGCTTGTCATGATGAAGAGGAGTGAGAGACACACTTTATCAGTCAGTCAATTTCAGTGATTATCAAGCAAAATATTTGTTGGTGCCAGTAGTCAAATATGAGGATTTGATGGATTGTGGGCATGTATGGTAGCAAACTAAATGTATTTGGGTTTAGGACTGTTGGTCATTTAAAACAGGAAACTGGGATAGACATTTTTGTCTTTACTTTCTCATTTTTCAAATTTATGAATGAATCGAGAAAATAATTGTTAGTTGCAGCCCTAGTGGACGTTAGTTCCCTCCATCAGAACCGCTTGTTGGATGATCAAACCTTCCTCCGAACACTTTTCCAGAATTAAAGAGGCCGCTTCCGACAATTTCCGTAACTTTTGGAAAATGTCAATTTGACATTTACAACCATTCAAGCCGTGATTGGCCAGCAGCCGAGGTAAGAAAGGAGCCAGGGTTTGAACTTCTCTCTCGAGCTCTTGTTTTTCATTCGTTACGCAACTACTTCTGTCAATTTTAGTGTTTACAACTGAGCGCAATATTATGAATGATTTCCAGGAAAGCCTGAAAATGTGTTCTGCTATCCCCCAAACTGTATTTAAATGATTACAGAGCCCCTCTCTCCACATTGTGTGACTCTTCACCTTGGCTTTAAGTGTGGCCAATTGAAGAACAAGCATAAACACATTTGCCAACATCACACAATACTTTTCTCTATCAAATCAGAGAGGCTTTTGCAGCTCAGTGCGCAGGCAGAGTGAGTCACATCACCCCACCCTGTGGAGCCCCGCTTGTTTACGAAGGAAGATGCAACGTGAAAATTCTGAAAACAACAAATTAAATCACACGTGTAAAATATCTTGAGGATAATATTTTCAATAGGAAGGGGAATTCCAAATGTAAAACATCACATGGAGACGGATGGTGGGAAACAGTTGTTCAACACAGAGGCTTGGGTCTAGTTCGCAGAACTGAAACAGTCCCGTGAGTCAGATTTGGATTTGATATTAAACAGGAACATATTTTTTGAGAAGCAGATTGAGAAATCCTGAGTCAGAAGGGAAACTTCACAGAGTGTTGTTTGATTGGTTACTGCTTTCCTTCACCCTTTTCTACACGTAAAACCAGTACGTCATTACTTGGATCTCATAACTGCTAAAGCTGACTCTTTATCATCCTTTCAACAGCTTCTTTAATGTGCACAGATGGAGCTCTTTTACCAAAAGGTCAAATGCTGGTACGTCACACTCAGAAACTGAAGCTATTTTTTTTTCTAACTCAAGCTATTTGTATAATCATTGGGAGCCGGTCCTTCATTTGACAGTTTGCAGCCTGCACAGAGCACATGGACGATGCCAAACTAAAATTAGACTGCTGTCTTCCAGTATCACCGCCTTGGAGCAAAGCTGCACAATACACAGAGGAGCTGAGCTGTGTCACACGCTTTTAATCGAGGCCTCACCAAATCTGATAAAAGCAAGAGACAACGGGCCTTTTCATCGCGACCAAGAAAGTAACTTGTTCATCTGAGGGCCTTAAATATGATCAAATGTCTGACATAACAACTGGCCACCTGACGAGCTGCAACACACAGAAAAGCAAAACACACTCACAAAAACACTTAAAGAGTGCCCACATGGATTCAGCGTCATGTGTGCACTTTCCTTCCATCAAGCCCACATTTGTGAGCTTGATGGAGGGAAAAACAAAGTGGGTCATACAATGTCAGTAGGTGTGGATAGAGAGAGAGAGGATAAAAAGTAATTGGGCTATTACTTCGGCCCAGCCAAACATTAGAATTGTTTAATGAAACATCTGCATTTTCTCTTTCACGTAAACCACCTGAAGGTGTTTAAGCATATGAGGAACAACAATAAATCCATTTACGTCAACAGGAGGGGATTTATTTTCAAAGCAGGAGCAGTGAACTGTAATGTAACACATGGAGCTGCTCCACTGATAAAGAACACGTATGTTGTCATGGCATGGCCTCGTCCATTCACAGATAGATTATACTTCACTGTCACTATGTGAATGCCATCATACTATATTAAGTGGCTTTCCAGCCATCTGTTTTTATGCACATTTACAATTTCCAAATAAAACTAGAATTAGCACCTTGGTGTTTTTATGCCTCCGTCAACCATTCATGTTGCAGTTTACATCCCTGCACTTCATCATTTGATCCTATAAGACATTTGTGTGAAATTGTCAATTAAGCTTGAAGAAAGGCGTTCCTGAGACACGAGAATAGGATGAACAAGAGGTCACAGGTCAAGGCCAATGTGACCAGTTCATCTTTGAGTCCATGTGGACGTGTGTGCCAAATTCGAAGAAATTACCTGGAGGCTTTCCTGAGACATCGCGTTCACGAGAATAGACCGTACGTGAACTCCTGATATTCACATAACAGTAGTGGATGGAAACACGCCTTAAGTCACATTTTCTTTTGTCAATTGACTGGAAATATTTTTTAAGTTTGCGCTCTTTGGGATGGAAACTTGGCAACTTTCACTGTTGATTTGCTTGTGACATCAACTAGTCGTCTAGATTCCCCAGAGTTCTACACAATTTACTTTAAAGAAGTGAGTAGAAAGAGGTTCAGCATCAAGCTTCAGGACATTAAGCTGAGGCAGGGACCTGCCCTTTGACCTCTCGTTGACACAACTCTTATCAGTTGTTACGACCCCTCCCTTCCACTAGGGGTCTGTGTCCTGTTTTCTGTCTCTTTTCTGTCTTTCAGGATGTTGATCGTCAGCTAAATGAGCCACACCTGAGCCTGGTGTGGTTCCAGCTTTAAAGTCTCTCCACCTGAACATTGACGGTCTCTTCTTTGGCTGACACTACCGATTACTGACTCTCCATGTTTGATTTGTTTAGTTAATGTTAGCCTTTAAATAAATGTGTTTATTTATTATTTTTACACTCGACTGGTCTCCCATTCATGTTGCAGACTTTGAGTCGGGTTGTAACGTCAGTAGGAACCCACAATGGTAAATCTTTCAATTTGGATTTTAGACAAGACATCACGGCCCTGTTTTATGTATCATACACTACCATTTTATCCAAACTAATTAACTAATAATTAATTAATAAAATTAATTTGAATTCATAATAACAGAGGCCTAAGTTAGGTAGTTTGCCAAAAGGCTCATATCGGTGTTTTTTCAAGTTTTATCTTCTTTGATTACAGACTTCCCTCTTTGTCCTTGTGTTTCCTTGCTCAGTGACAGTGGAGGGACATCAGCACAAAGAGGGACTTTCATACTAAAAAGACTACAGCTTTGGAAGATTTGTCTAACTGAGACTGCTTAAATGTCATATTGGCTTCAGCTGAACTTTAGAATGCTCTTTGCATCGACTCAAGACTGATTTTAAACCCCATTACTTACAGATGAGTTGTAAAAGATCACTTAATGGCCAGTATAGACAGGAGGAATGATATACGTATATTACCATTAGCACCAGCAGATATGGGAACAAGAGTATTGTTTTGAGACGGATTTGAAAAAAACAACTCCAAATCATGAATATGGTACCTCTGACAGTTTTTTAAATGGATGCTGTACAGATTCAGATATTTTAATCCGATTTTCGCCAGGCTATCGGGAAGCTGGTTGCCATTCATTTATGAATATCAATTAGCAGTCTCTTAAAACCTGCTACAGACGGGTGGATCAGAGTGAAGGTATAGTGAAAATGTATTTCAGTGCCATAACCCCTAATCCCTGCCAGGTCAAGGGTCAAACAAAGCACACCATACATGAAACCCCATTTCTGTTTATTCAGTTTGCAAAAGCAAAAAAAAGAGTGAATGTCCTAACTCAAACCACTAACATTTCAACATGAGTTATTTCACAAGAAACTGTTTTGAGCTCTGCTGTTATTTACCGGTATGCAAAGCCAAGAACCCTCCTACAGGAGGCAACTCCCCAAACCAGACACTCCCACGGTCTGCTCCAACAGAGTCAAACCAATCCCGGACACACCGTCGGGTTCGTTTTTATACCTTTACGACCAACTGCGATTTGCAAGTGAAAGTTAAGCAAAAATCAAACACAACGTGGGAGAGAAAACTTACCGCGTGCGCTCCCGAGGCGAGGATGGCAAGGTAGAGGCACAGGAGCAGCAGCCTGTAGTCAATGAGAATGACAGCGTTCATAATAATGCCACAGATTTTTGTTTTAACGTGATGATTTTGCAGCGTAATGATCCACTCACCTCAGATGTTTCAGTCCTCTGTTGTGTTGTCCCTGCATGGTCCCACTCATGCGCACCGAAAAAAAACGTCAGTCCCGCTGTTTCACTAGTGGAGACACTTACAGCATGTCTGCCCGACCTGATGAGCAGATAGAGACCCTGTACGTTAATAAAAACTGTCAACATATGAGTCCATACATGTGATCCACCTGGTTAGTGTCTACAGAGACGACTTGATCATTTGTCACAATTTCTGCTGTAAATAGAACCTCACAAAGGTGCTCCGCTCTCGTGGAACAGCTGCAATGATCGATCGATTTTCAAGAGTAGCCTATATGTCATCAATTTGCCATCACTTTAGTAAGATGTGTTACTTACAGTCACAACCAGGCGGTAAGGTGAAGGAAATGGATCTCACGGGGCAAAAGATGCGCGGGATCCCGGGCTGAAAGGTTTTCGGGTTAAGGTAATAAACTACCTGCGGCACCAAAAACCTGTTCAAATATTCTCACAAGAAAACACACCAAAGTGAGCCGAGCAGTCCCTCTCCCTACCGAGAAAAGTCAAAGTGTTTGTAACATGCACGGTTGAGTCCGTTTGCATGGGAGCGAGGGTGGTCGTTTTGGGGAGGGGGGTGTGGTGCAGCAGAAACAAGACCAAGTTGCATTGATCAGGACCTCAGATCGTTTCAGACAAAGATGCAGCCAAACGTGTCCGTGCTCTGCCGATAAGTTAATAGTCACCCGACGAGAGAGGACGAGAAGCGGCCAACAGGTGGTTGTTTTTGGGCACCCTGCACTGGTCCACTGCGCACCGCCACAATGCTGTTACCGTCCGGCACCCTGTTGCTGCTGGCGGCTGTCTACTGCTGTGTAGACCTGACGGGGGCTGAGGTAAGTGGACGAAGCATCTACAGCATTGTGAGGAACTTAAAAGTGTTCTTGCGCGGAATGTGTATCTCGTAGACGTTATTTGATTAAGTTGATGTGCGCAACTTTCAAACAAAGTGCAGTTATGGGTGATTTTAAACTGTCTTCGTGTATTTAGGAGAGCCATGCACACAAGTAGGCTAGTATATACATATAGTGTGTCTTTGTGCAACCATCTGTTTTTCTGTGACATATTCCGACTGTTAAGACAAACCATTAACTGTGCTCATCTGTTATTGAGCTCCAGTCCTCCAAATATATACATTACAGTGTTTTAGTGTCATAGAGACTCTTTATTCCAGATTTTTGTATTTGAATATACTCATACATGTATATATATATTTTATATATTATGTGTCTTTTCAACCACTTCTTGTCTGTTTGGCTTTATGAGGCAGTTCTAATACTTTGAGTTGAATCTGCTCCCAGTCCAGCCTACTCCACATTGCTGGAGAGAGGAGAAGAGAGAGAGAGAGAGGGTGGGGCAGAGAGAGTGCGCGTGCGTGTGTGTGAGGTAGGGGCGAGGTAAGAGGATAAGAGGGAGACTGAGATGCATACTATAAGAACTAAATCATTGGTATCTTTAGATAATCCAATCAACTTTTTTATGAATGTGTCTCTTTAGAATAGAGACACACTTGTTATGCTCCTGAACTCGTACTGTATGGGTTTCGTCCAGAGCCCAGACAGCCAGAAGAAGAGATATAAGTCCTCTAACTGTGTCCATGTGTTGCTGTTGGTGATTTAGGCCTGCATGATGCAAAGTTGCACACTTGCATTGCAAATAGAGTAATATGAGATATTAAGAATCATCAGGAAGAAAACACAGTAAAAGATGTTTTTTCATATTGTAGTGGATAAACTGACGGAGCATGTATCTCTTCCCTCAGTTTGGATAAAACATTGTTTGATATGAAACATGCTAAGACATTTGAATGTTAAGATTTAAAAATATGTACTAATAACTGTTAGTGGGAGGGAGTGGAACTACCAGCTAGCTTTCAACCAGTTTTGTCAGTAAATCTTTCTCAGGGCAAATGTTTGACAAATGGGAATTTCTCAGCTAGACTACAGTAGGTGGCATCACACATGGAGAAGGAATAAGCTATGTTGGATACATTTCCACATCCGGATTTCCCATTAAAAAGTATAGTTTAATGGAAAACAGCAGTGGAGCAGAAAAAACGGTGCTTCAAGTCTCCCCTGAGAACAGAAACAGTTTTGGAGGCTTGCTGCTCTTTATGTTCATGTATGTGGAGACCCATCTCCACATACATTTGTTGCTATTTGTTGAAATGTACATAACTACAGAGGCCACCCTCTGCTGAGAGGCTTGTCAGATGTGGTGCTTTATTTTGAGGCGTGGGTGGAGTTTGTGGCGGAAACATCTCTCACACGAGTAGCACAAAATCCAGGTGAGGGGGAGGAAAACATTTGTGGACTGTGTCAAGAGTAAAACCTGAGGAAAAACAGGCTGTTAATCAGTTGGTTTTATTGCACAATGTTCAGTTTCAGAACAAAATGACACCCCTCAAGGGAGCCTGGTATTATCTTGTGGGGAGTTTCTCTATCTTCCGGGGTGTTTTAACAATATATTTTCAGATGTGATGGATTGTAGCCGCGAGCTGTCGTCACAAAGTACAACAAGTCAGCTCAAAAATGAATGATCCACATGTTAAAAGCTTTTCCTAGTTTCTCCTTTGGCAGCAAACTGGGCAGAGTGGCTTTGACGTCCCTTACCCTAGATGTTTAATTTAGAAAACAATCTCTTTATTTATTACGTATTTCTCTGCAGACAAAGCTTTGATTCAGGGAGCTGCATAGGATAGAAGTGTGTGATGCTGAGAGGAAACATATCAGGTTAAACAAAGCAGCAGAGTGAACTCCTATCCTCCGCCTGCATGGATTGAGAAGCATAAACATGAGAGAAACGTACGACATCTGGACAAAAGAGAGGATGGCTGAGGAGGTGTATATCTGGCTGAACATCTTGTCACAGATCAGATGAAGCCAATGAAATCGGAGTAATTCAACATTCTGGATTCATTGTTGGGATTTGGCATATTTCCCCATCCACCCATGGGAGGTGCACAACAGGAAGTTTGTGATCCTGTCATCCATCCAAAGCTGCACGGTGAACAGAAGGGGGCTTTCCTCACCAGTCATATCCAGAACAATGAGATTTATTTACTTAACGTCCTCTTGCTTTTGTAACCTGCATCTTCATAAATGTGAATCCCGCAAAAGAAATCAGTGTTTGGCCGATATCCACGGGGCGATTCAGTGTGTTTATCTCTTCTTTGTCTCTGCATACACAGGGACGTGACGCAGACTGAGTATCACAGTCTCCTGTTTGGGCTCTTTCACAATCAGTGGGGCTAAACAGAGGCCAGGAGGGAATATACAGCATAAACAATTCACGGTCAATCACTAATGCATGCAACACACACAAATGTGATAACTCTGAGCCTTGTGTGGGTCAGGTTGACTTTTGCAAAGGTCATAATGAAAAGATAATGCAAGATTGGCCTTAAACTCGACACTCTGGTTAAGGATGAAGCAACAAGCTAATATTTACAACTATGTAGACCTTTGCTCCCAATATTTTCACCACAACATCCGATCCTGAGTATATTTCCCCACTGTTTATACGATACCAACAGAATAGTCTCTCTCTCCCTTGGCGGTCATTTAATCAGGCCAGAATGAGTCATTAGTAATTCCTAGAGGAGGAGGAGGAGGAGGAGGAGGAGGAGGAGGAGGAGGAGGAGGAAGAGGGGCAGATTAGCAGATTCCTGGAGTGACAGCTTGTGTGTGGGATGTTGGAAGGAGGGGTTAGGAAAAGCAGTAGCTGGTGGGAAAGATGAGCCTCTCTGTGCTGCCAGGTTCCTGCTCCCGGCTTTGCCATGATGTCCCAGGACAGGGTGAACCTCAGGGAGGGCCACTACTTCCATATGGTGGAAGCAGTGAGAGAGCTGTTAATGTGGGTGTATTGTCTGTTGAAAGCTGAGAATCATGCTGCCCAAAATGTCAACAAGGCTGCTTGTCGTTTGGTCGAAGCACCAACCTCCTCCCCATCACCCCCTACTGAGACAACAGCTGACCCCTCTTACTGTTACCGGCCACCAACCAAGCAGGGCACCCTGGGAAGGCCTGACCCCTGTCCCCCAGTGTTGTAAAAATGCCTACATTTGGAAGAGTTGTGATCATGTTAGTGTCCCTGTATTTTGAAAGGTGTCTCTGGGTGGCAAAGATAAATCTTCCCTGACCTTGATACTCAAGTAGTGTGGCAGGTATTCCCCACTTTCCGCCTGTGTATGTTTCTGTGTGTGCTCCTGTCTGTGCCAAGTGAGGAGAGGATTAAGTAGTGGTTAAGCATGGTAAAGCCCTTTTCAATTCCCTGTGGTCCAAACGTCACTGATAAGGCATTTATTGAGATTCGTCACATTTGTGTTTCACATATGAACTACGTCTTTTGTCCCACGCTGATATTTTTCCGCACTTTAACAACCTTCGAGATCCACTTGTGTTGCTGCTCGAGATCGGTTACTTCCCTGAAATGTATTGTTATGGTGAAAGTGCAATTCAGCCGTTTAACTGTGAAATTGGTGAGTCATAAAGGCCATTTGTGGTTTGGACGGAGATGGCGTAATGGATACGTCTGTTGACAGGGAGGTGGGAGGTGGAGAGTGATGGCGGGATGGAGGGGGAGGCTGCGTGGGGTGAGAGAAGGAGATGGCAAGGTTATGAGACCCAGAAGCTGAGGAATGTGGGTCGCAGCCAGAGATGATACCCCGTAGCAAATCGTTTAGTCTCACTCTCCGGACCTTGACCTGAACTTCCACCCGCCGCTGCCAAGTTGTTGGAGGATAATAAAGACAGTGATGATGGGATCATTACATGTATCACTTTGTGGGGGTTTCTTTGTATTGGTCCACACGAAGTGAAGTGTTTACATTTTGTCTGTCTCTTCCTTTAGCTGTTACAAATACTTTCAAATAATACAAAGGCTTCACTACTTTATTAAATACAATCATTTCCAGACTACATTAAGGTTTGTGGTTTGGAGTGTTTGTGTTACCTCAGGATAGTGCAATTCTGGGTCTGGGTGTGTCTGTAAACAGATTTGTGTGTGTGGGGAGATTTGCAGAGGGAACCTGGAATATTGCTGGATTCAATGATCTGGATAAGGGGAAGGTTTCCGTTGTTCCCACATTAGTCTGTTCCCACCTGATCTGGCCAGATTTCTCTGTGAGACTTTGCATGTGCAATGCTTGCTTTGAATCTAAGATACTGCATCTTATTGATGCTTTGTAATGCAGAAGAGAGCCTATTGATGGTATTTTAACTGCACCAGGATGCTCAGCAGAATCATTTAAAGCCTTAATAATACAAGAAGCTAACATGTTATTGATCATTTTCTCAATGCAATTGCTGTATTCCATGCTTGATTACAGTGAGGTTGAATTCAACTCAGCGAAGTCGCAAATGTCAGACCTTCTCATCAGTGAGTGGTTATTCATGCCTTGTTGAACTAAACACTTTTTTTGCTTTACCTGGAAATGTTGCTGCTTTTGCTTCAGACCTTCAGACTCTGGTAAAAGGTCTTTGGACGTTTTCTGAGCATCTTTACGTAATGATATTACAGATGAAACAAGCACATGCTTCATATTTGTTCCATTTAAAGTTAACTGATGAACGCTCTCGCCAGAATGTGGAGTCTGTGGTGTGTGGCGCCTTTCAACAAGTCTGAGCATTAGATAAATGGAGACATTTCTTATTCAGCTCAACATGACAGTGGTGCAATCTGGTTTTTAATTCTGCCTGCGCCTCACAGCTCTCACAGACCTTATATAGAGCAGCGGGCTTTGAAGCAAACTTTACATAGTGGTCAAAACATAGAAAATCTACCTCGGATAGGTATGACATTATGGCTAATAATCAAAATCGATTCAGACTAAGAATGGGATTTTCACTTTTCATGTAAACTCACTG